AGAAATGATATCTAATCCAGAATGAAGGGAGATGATGGTTAGAGAGGAAGTTTTGGAGAAAGTATTGATTTTGAGGGCCACGTTATCATAAATGTAAATCAGATTCAAGAAGAATAAATTTGCAAATTTGTCTAGACTGGAAGAAAACAGTCATCAGAAAAAAAGTGAAAAAAATATTAATGAGATACATAAAAGAGACTAACCTTGATATGTGGAAAGATACACATTTATCTTATCCTTTTATGGCTTGCTATAGATAGCAATTTGTGTCTTGTTACAGTCAAGCTAAATGTGAATGAATACCCCAAATTACTAATCCCGTAAATCTGATAGATAATGGTCTTCAAGTAAATAAAACTAGTACATAAAATTCAAAAGCTAAATATAAACAGGATAGTCATGAGGTTCTCTGTAATATTTAGTTTAAAACTACAAAAGGAGCCTAAATGAACAGTTTGTGGTGTCTCTGTATTTCACGAACTGCTCTAGGTCACTAGAATATCTATAGCTTGATTCTGAGATGAGTTTTCTTTTCAGTTAATCGTAAATGACACTGTAGTTTGTGTCAGGGTTACCTTGACCTCCATTTCCAGCTCTTCCTTCTTTTGTGTAGATTCGTATTTCCACCTGGCATAATTTTCTTGTGGCGCAGATCTGCTGGTGATGAATTCTTTCAAGCTTTTCTATGTCTGAAAGCCTTTATTTTTTTATAATTTTATTTATTTATTTATTTTCCCCCCAAACCCCCAGTAGATAGTTGTATGTCACAGTTGCACATCCTTCCCACGTCGCTGTATGTGGGACGCAGCCTCAGCATGGGTGGAGAAGCAGTGCGACGGTGCTCATCCAGGATCCGAACCCGGGTCGCCAGCAGCGGAGCGTGTGCACTTAACTGCTAAGCCACGGGGCCGGCCCCTGAAAGCCTTTATTTTGCCTTCATTTTCCAAAAATATTTTCTCTGGGTATAGAATTCTAGGTTCATAACTTTTTCCTTTGAGTACTTTAAAGATGTTGCTCCGCTATATTCTTGCTTGCACTGATTCCCATGAAAAGTTGGCCACCACCCTTATCTTTTCTCCTCTGTACATAATCTTCCTTTTTTCTCTGGCTGCATTTAAGATTTTTCTCTTTATCACTGGTTTTGAGCAATCTGATAACGACGTGCCTTGCTATAGCTTTCTTTGTGTTTCTTGTACTTAGGGTTTGCGGAGCTTTTTGGACCTACAGGTTTACAGTTTTCACTAGCTTTGGAAAAATTTTGGTCATTATTTCTTAAAATATTTTCTTCTGCTCTCTCCTCCTCTCCCCTTTGGGAACTCCAACTATATATATATATATCGGGCTGCCTTAAGTCTCACGGCTCACTGGTGCTCAATTCATTTTTTAAGTTCTTAATGTTTTAGTTTGTTTAGTTTCTATTGTTATGTCCTCATGTTCACTCATCTTTTCTGCTACAGTGTCTAACCTGCCATTAATTTCATCCAGCGTATATGTCATCTCAATATTACAGATTTCATATCCTGAAGTTTCATTTGGGTCTTTTTTATATCTTCTATGACTCTATTACTTTTTGAACATATGAAAATATAGCTGTAATAACTGTTTTAATGCCCTTCTCTGCTAATTCTAAAATCTATATCAGTTCTGAGTTGGTGGTTTTGATTTCTCCTTATTCGTCATATTTTCCTACTTTTTACATATGTGGTAATCATTGATTGGATGGCAGATATTGTGACTTTTACCTTGCTGGGTGCTGGGTATTTTCGTATTCCTATAAATATTCTTGAGCCTTGTTCTAGGATGCAGCTACTTGGAAATAGAATGATCCTTTTGGGTCTTGCTTTTGAGGTGGTACCAGAGCCATGTTTTGTCTAGGGTTAATTATTGCCCAATATTGAGATAAGATCCTTCTGAGTACTGTAACCAAAGTCCTGTGAATTATGAGGTTTTCAAGTCTCATAGCTGGTGGGAACAGACACTCTTCCCAGCCTTGTGAGCAACAAATACTGTTTCCTTCAATCTTTTCAGGCATTCTCTCCCAGCCTTCGGTAGTTTCCTTACTTGTACACACTGATCAAGATTCAGCTGGGCCGGCCCTGTGGCTTGGTGGTTAAGTGCACGCGCTGCGATGCTGGTGGCCTGGGTTCGGATCCCGGGTGCGCATCGAGGCACCACTTCTCCGTCCATCCTGAGGCCGAGTCCCACATACAGCAACTAGAAGGATGTGCAGCTATGACATACAACTATCTACTGGGGCTTTGGGGGGAAAAAATTAAATAAATAAAATCTTTAAAAAAAAAAAAAAAAAAAAGATTCAGCTGAATATCTGATGGGAACCTTCTGCAGGTATCTGGAGTTCTTTTTCCGTTAAGTTCTCTCCTTTCCAGTACTCGGTCCTATGAATTGTAGCTGCTATTCACTCCCCAGACTCCTGGCTATATCTCCTCAATTCAGTCTGCCGGGCTATACCTAGGTTCCTCCTGTATTCTGCAGCCAAAAACTCTCTTCAGACAGTAGCTGGATAATCCAAAGGCTCACCTCATTTGTTTCCTGTTTCTCAGGGATCAGTGTTCTTCACTGCCTGATTGGCAGCTGTTAGTATGTGAGTGGAGCTTATTGATTACAGCCTTCACTGTAAGATCATTTGCCTGGGCCATTTCATTGGGCTCACTGGGGTCAGTATGTTTAGGTCTTTTCTCTTGGGCTGGATGGAGTTCCCCAGGAAGAAGCTTCCTAGCTTTTGTCTAGAGGGAATAAGCCTGGCCGACAGAGTTCTGGGAGGGTTGGGGGCCCATCAATCAATATGTAAATATTATCCACCTTACCTCCTTGTTTTCACTATAATACCCCACCCTCACAGCTGAGAACCTTATTTTTGTTCTTTCCAGAGAATACACTTCTAGCCTTCTGGTAGGGAGATGGTGGGGAAGTCATGTGATTATTCAGAATAGGAGTACGGATCTCAGTATCTGTGGTACTTGGCATCCAAAATGGCCCACAAAGATCCTCACCTCCTGGCATGCATGTGCTTGTTTAGTTCCTGTCCATAATGCATTAGGGCTGACCTGTGTGACCAATAGAATATGGCAGAAGTGATGGTGTGACTTCTGAATCTAGACCATAAACAGCATTGCAGCTTCCACCTTGGTCTCTTGGATCACTCACTCTGGTGGGAGAGCCAGGTTTCAGGCTGCAAGGACACTCAAGCAGCTCTGTAAAGAGGCTCACATCAGAGGAACTAAGGTCTCCTGCCAACTTCTGAGCCTTGGAAGTGAGCTTTCTTAGAAGGTGATCTACCAGCCCCAGCCAAACCTTCAGGTGAGCCCAGCCTCTGCTGATATCTGACTAGATGTCATTAATGATCCCGAGCCACCCAGTCAAGTCACTCCTGAATTCCTGATGCACAGAAACACTGAGAGATAATAATTGCTGTTTTAAGCCACTAAGTTTGGGAGTGATTTCTTAATGTAGTATTGCATAACAAATATAGCATCTGACTTTCTAAAAACAGACTTTCAAGCAATCCTCTTGGTTTTACTGCCACCTTCAACTTCACTTACGGAGATAAGCGGTAATTGATAAGCCAATTCCTGAGCTTCCTGGGGAATTCTATAGTATAAACCAGTTGTTTTTTGGCTTTCTTAATGTCTAGCCTAGGATTCAGATTTTTTAGGTCTGCAAAGTCACCTTTTACTCACCCAAAAGCTTCACTGATTCCAAAGTTTTCTGCTGTTATCTTATCTCCTGTTCTCCCTGTCCTAGTTGGACAAAGAAGTTAAAAAATCTTTATTGCTGTTCTAGTGGGGGCAGCAAAAGTAAATAAGTATGCTCAATCTGCCTCTTCATCTAAAAGACTTGTTTATCAAACATCTGGATCTTTGCCAGTATAATAGGTGAAAAACACTATCTCAGTATGATTTTAATTTACATTTTTCATATTATGAGTATTCTTGAGTCAGTCTTTCTATTTTTCTTTTAAAAGCTATATTTATTTCTTTTTAGATAAATCATGTGTTTATTTTTTTTGCCTATTTTCCCACTAAATTGCTAGATTTTTTTCTTTTTGATTTATAGACGCTCTCTATATTTAAAAAATCAGCTCTTTGTAATATGAGCTGCCGATATTTTTCACTGTTAGTCTGTCTTCTGACCATCTATGGCGGTTTCTACCACACAGTACAGTTTTATCTTTATGTAGTTGACATTATCAATCTTTCCTTTTTTAATTTTAAGGTTTTGGGTTTTTTTCTTTTGCTTCTAAGGTTTGTGTCACACTTTGAAAGGTCTTTCACACTCTGACATTATTTTTTAAAATTCTTCTATGGTTTGTTCTAGTACTTTAATCATTATATATATCTAGCTCCAATCTGGCTAAAATTTATTTCGTGTAGGGAATTGATTCAACTTTATTTTTTCCCATATAGCTACCTACTCCCAAATCCATTTACTGAATACTCCATCTTTTCCTCAGTAATCTGAAATGTTACTTTTATCATAAACTAAATATATGTATATACTTGGGTCTACTGACAGGTTTGGTAACTTATTCCACTGATCTCTCTGTCTCTTCATATGTCAGCAAGATAATGTTTTGTTATTGAAGTTTATGCAGGCAACTGTCTTCTGAAATCATGACTAAATGCAAACAATTCTGAACCCCAAATAACTAAAGAATGATAATATAGTTGGTTTCCTGGGACAGGTTTTAAACATTCAGAAATAAGAAAGGTCAATATTCTATAAGGAAGAAAATCATAAGCACTCACGAACAAAATAAGAAGTATAAAGTTGTGTCCAATTAACTGATAGATAGTAAAGTCTTCTTTTCCCTTAAGAAAATTATAATCTAGTTAATTAAACGAGCTATAACCAGAGAATATAAGTTAATGGTTTCTGAACTGCATTTAGCAGTCAACGGTTTCTGCCCACTGGCTTTAAGAACAACAGTTTATATCTAATGTTCAACAAAATATTTTGCATCAAAATAATTATCTTCTTACTTGTAACAAAAGCAGCTGGAGAAGATGATCATAGCAATTATGCAGACAGCCATAGAAATGAGCACAACCAGCCATCGAATGCTGCCATCGAAAAAAGGACCTGACAATGGAAGTAAACAATGAAGTAAACATATTACCTTTCTACCACATCTTAAAAGGAAAAAATAATTTCTACTGTTAAATTTTAGAAAGTTTGCTTATTGTTAAAATCAGAGAAAATATTTTACTGAGAATGAGGATCACACTTTTCTCTGCTAACCTACCTATAACAACAGGGGGCAGCGTAGGTTGTAAATACTGGTTACATAAATTGGTTCGACAACATTCTATCGTCCGGCGTAACTGGGCTTTTGGTGAATCCTAGAGGAAGAGTAATGACAAAATTAGAAATAGTTTGATATACTAAACTGGTAATGAATTTTTAAAATATTCATAAAATACCATTTCTAAATCAGTGAGTGAAAAGCACCTGCAAATTTTAGGTGTAAAAAAAGATTATTGAAAAATCAGAATTTGTGCTCAAATAGTGTTTTGAAGACTGTAAAATGGTTTTTCTTAAAGAGAACATATGCATGTGATGGTGTGTTAGTACACTAAACTTTAACTTGATTACAGACAAAGTTTCTAAGTATTTTTCAGTAAAACACTGGCAAATCTTAATATATTACTATTCATTTGTTTTTAGTAAAATAGTAATTAAAGTTATGGGAGATCTCTTCCTAAAAAACACGGATAATACATTTTATTACAATGATGAACTAGCAGGATAAGTACGATCTCATAGTAGTACTGAGACTTGGATGAGACTTAAGATCAGGCTAAAATGTGCAGGATGTCCTAGTCTAAAGAAAAGACAGGTTAGGAAAGGTAGTCAAGTAGGTAGAAGATACTGCAGATTGTGCGCATAACAGGTATGTTGAAACTAACGAAGAACCCAACGTTGAAGCAAGTTGAATACGTGGCAAGGATAAGGGCAAAATACAGAAACAATATTCCTGAGAGTTTTTTAGAGACCATCACCGAGATATGAGATGTGTCCCTAACATAAGAAAACAAGCACAGAAAAAGACTGTAGTCACGGGAAAATATATGTGTGAAGTTTTATTTGATTAACAGTACAATATTTGACAAGTTCCTAGCTTGAATGATGACATTTCAGCACTGCCTGGGGGAGCTGCCATTCTGGACCAAAATAGTAACAGAAGGGAATTATTTGTCATTGTAAAAGCAGCAAGAACATAAGCAGAAATTGACTGTGTTATTCTTAATATCAGATGGTCAGAAAGGAAAAACCTCAGTATAACCAGGTATTACTTTAAAAAGATGAACATGAGTCCATGACTTGAGATTCTATCAGGGAAGATGGGTCACGGAAACCTCCAAAAGCATAAGTTTTACATTTTAACTTAATTTTTAACTTTTTAACAATTTTTACTTTTAAATGATCATAAAGAGCAAGAGAAAAGAGAGATATGTTAGGAGTTACACAGGTGACTCTGAAATAATCCTAGATCTAGAGAAAACTTATATGAAGGATGGAACGAGAGTATATAACTAAAGATGAATACAAGAAGTACGAAGCATACTTTCAGAAAGGCTAAGTTCAAAACGAGCTTAGCCTTGAGAAAGAGAAAATGTAAAGAAAAACCAAGAAAGGATTTCTTTGGCAGCCCTAGAAGAAAGACCACCAAGCCATGGATGTACTGCTGAGAAAACAGCAGGTAATGGAGGACAAGGAAACCGTACAATCCTTTAACTCCCATTTTGTTTTGGTCTTCTCTACCAAGGATGATTACAGGAAGGAAGAAGGTGGACCAAACACCAGTAAGTGGGAATTGATATCCCAGAGGTATGAAGAGTCCCTACTGTGTTTCTATACTCTGGCCTCGGTGAATTATGTCCCAGAAAGATGAGAGCATTTGTGAGAGGGCCGAAAGACAGGTATGAACCAAAGATTTTAGAAACAAGGAGTGTTGGAAACTAGAGAGCTAAACATGATATTACTTTACTTTAAAAGGGAAAGAAAGTAGACAGTGCCAACAACAGAGTGGAGGCATCACGGTGTTATGGAAAAAGCAAGAGCTTTGGAACCAAACAGTTTAAGTCCGAGCTTTGCCACTTTGTGACCCTGAGCAATGAACTTACTTCTCTCTGGGCTTTAGTTTCCTTTGCTGAAAATGGAGGATAAAGAAATACCTGCCTTATAGGGTAAATGGGAGAAAATGAGGTACAACATACCAAGTACTGAGCATATTAAATGCAAATAGTAAATATTCAATAAAATAATTCTTTTTCCTCTAGTGAACTTGACACAGATCCCAGCCAAGACTGTAGAACAAGCCAAAAATGCTTATAAATCCCTAGAAGACTCGATGTGGCTTCACCAAGAATAAGGAACATAGGACTCACCTTACATCCTGCTTATGTAGGTTAACTGGGTAGGCAAAAGTCAGGTGTGTCTATATTATAAAGTTGGGTAATACAACCTTTTCTGGTCCTTCACTCCCCACTCCCATTCTCCGCCCAAGTCCATTTGTATCTCCAGATTTATGTGGGCAATAAGAATGCTTGTGGGGAAAAAACTCACTTGGCATTCATGAAATAGGAGATCCTAATTTAAATAAACTTATTTAGTGAGCTTGGGTGGAGGAGGTAGTGGGGGAGGAGGGAGTGGTACTCGAGGAAGGAACTGAAGCCAAATTACAAGGAACAGCAGTGTGGTTTCTGAGAAATAATTTACCCTACAGGAAGAAAAAGAGTAAGACAGATTTACCAACAGAGACCGGGAGAGAGAATCAAGGTCTGGGCGGAGCATGGTGATTATCACTTGAACCAGTTTTGATCCAAACTTGGCAATACATGAAAGCGCTGGGAGGAAAAGGCTTAGGGTACAAGTGCAAGAGCTGCTCGCCTCAGGTTAGGTGCTGGATAAATGGGCAGTGATATTTAGGCAAGATACACAGAAGGTCAGGTAAGTGATGGTGAAGATTTTTCGCTTGTGTAACCCCTAAAAGAACTCTGAAAAACAATGTAGCCCCCCATATATTTTTAAGCTGACATCCACAATTTTTTTTATCATAAATAGAATGTATTGATAATTTCTGTCTTATTGTACATAACGACATTAAAAAAAAAAAAAACTGTTACATCGGGGCCGGCCCAACGGCCTAGTGGTTAAGTTTGCATGCTCTGCTGCGGCGGCCCGGGGTTTGTGGGTTTGGATCCTGGGCACGGACCTATGCACCGCTCATTGAGCCATGCTGTGGTAGGCGTCCCACATATAAAGTAGAGGAAGATGGGCACAGATGCTAGCCCAGAGCCAATCTTCCTCAGCAAAAAGAGGAGGATT